GAATCAAACAAGGAGGGTAGCACGCACTCCAGAAACAACTCAATTCCTTTCAAGTCTTTGCCCCGTTTTAAGGCAAGTAACTCAAAATCCAAACAGGAAACATGTCATACCAGCTGCTAACATTTCAAGATCTATAGAAAAAAGTGGCACCTGGCAACCGAAGCTGCTCTCTCGAATACCAGGGATGAGAACGAGACATGGCCAGGAGGCAGATCAACCCTCACCCATCCGCTGCCAGCTCCCTCAGATCACGCTCCTAGCAGAATCCGCCCAAATTCAGGCGCCGGCGTGCTCTGACCAAGAATGCACTTCTATAAAGCTCCTACTGCGTCCATTACGTTCTCACGTTCACCGTGATTCGGAAACGCGGGCAAATCTGGACCTGAATGAGACGAGGACATATTCTTTCAAGATTCACCAAGCTGAAATAAGTAACGCAGAAACAACAAAACCCCAGAAGGAAACAGGCTATCAAGAGGGAAGCGAAGGAGCAGGATTACTCCAGGACCAGGACTCTGGAATGCCAGCCTCCCTCTACTATCCTTTTATGGCAAACCACAAGACTTCTACCCCAGTTTCAGCATCCTCCTTTCCTACCACGCGCAAGGGAAAATGAGACAGCACACGCAGAGGACGTTAAAAACAGCTCTCAAACAGGCAGTCAAGACAGGAATCTACGGTTCTTCCCCAGCCACACCAACAAGCCTGTGGAAGCAAGCTTATAAATCCGAGGGCCGAGACCCTACACTGCTCTGCATCCATGCCAACAGCCTGACGTACTCAGGACCATCAGCTCCTCCTTACACTGTTAAACCCAGCTGTGCAGAGCTGCACTTCGTTACGGCTATTTGTCAGTCGATACAGCTAAAATGAAAAAAAAATGCGACAGCAAAAGGAGCTAAGAAAAACTCCACCCAGGAGAAAGGGAGATAACTCATTTCTAAGCACAAATCTATCCCCGACTCCCCTTGGGACTTAGAAGGAGAGCAGGGGCGGAGTTAGCCCGGGAGCAAGGAAGCAGCCGCCATGGATTGCGACAAGCGCTTTCAGGCCTTACGTCCCTTCCCTTGAAGGGAGGCAAGCATAATTTCGTAGGAGACAGGGACCGGGGGGAAGGGAGCCACAGGGGAACAGTTTTTATGACAAGGCTGGTGCATTTTCAATGATGGAATCGCCATCGGTTCTAAACCAAGGCGTACCCAAAAACTTCAACGCGCTGATAAACAGGAGACGCGGCTCCTCCTTCAAGATCTCAGCAGACAGCAGAGCTATCCTTTACACAACTTCGCCGCAAAAACAAAACAAAACCACCTAACACACTCCTGGCCCAGAACACCCGGAACCCAGAACGCTCTGTGGTCTTCGGAAGGTGCGCACGGACTACAGGGAGAAGGCCGTAGTCAACTCGAGGCTGATTTCACCTAATCACACTGAACTTTTAAAACACTGGAGAAGAATTATCTTAAAAAAATTTTACAATTACGGTTAGTGCTTTCGTACTATTAAGTACCTACTCTCTTCTCATTTGGCAGCCCCCCAGATCGCTCAAAACCGTAATTGCTCGAGGTACACAACGAAAAGTCAGTCAGCCTCGCAACACGCTAGCAAAGTTGCAACGACCAAGTCTAGAACGGTCTTACTTCTTCTTCTTCTTCTACCGGCACCGTCTCCTGACGCTACGGGCTGTAACGTGAAAGTTCTCGTACAGGTCAGCGAAGAGTTCCTCAGCAGAATGCGTCTTGCGAGACTCGGTACCAAAGCGCTAGCGAAAAGACAAAACGCTAGTTTTCACTTGTTTTACCACCTGACAAATAGACACCTCAAAAACAACCGCGTTATAAAGGATAGCGGCGAGTCTAGGCCAAACGTTGCAAGGCAGTAACTTTCTATATGGATCGCAAAGTTTAGACGTGACCAAAATTGTTATGGAATTCGTTATCTTGAACAACAACTACAAATCTCCACGGCTTTACAAGAGTTACTTGGATTCAGGGTCCACAGTAAGTCTTCCGCCTCCATCCCCGACTGAAGGCCGTGCTGTTTCTTTTACGTGTCCAAAAGAATTTCCATGCCTTAATTCCAAGGCTCAAGGAGGAAACCCTACCAAAAAGGTCATCGCTATCTCTTTCCCAGTCAGACACGATCGCTCACTTTATCCCATTTTACCAGGACCCAGGGACCGAGCGCTGGAATTCTGCGGCTCCAAAGTAGGGCATCGGCAGGAATAGGATGCCCGAGGGGTGGGAAAAGGGTCCGAGACGGAGTATTTTTCCGAGTTAAACAGATGTAAGCAGCTCCCTGTAACTCCCGATCTTAGCCAGAATCTCACATAAGACACAGCCCCCCAGGATAACCACCAGGCCCCACTCGACACAACGGCTTTGAGACCCAGTGACTCACTGCGGCGATGCCGCTTTCTGAGTAGACACGCTCCAGACGAGGAGCGACTGCGGCAGAAACCAGACCGCAGCCCTCCAGGGGCCTCCGTGCCATTTCAGCCACCAGCTGATCTTTGCCTTACAGGAGTTCTAAATTCTGGAACTTTGAAATTCAGGTCATTTTGTGAGAATCGGAGGGATTCAGTGTGACAGAAGAGCACCGCGTACGGGATACGGGTGACCGCCGACACTCAGCCACCACGACCGCAGCGTTCTGACGAAAGGGGCACGGAGGAGAGGGCGCTTTTCTACGGGCGGAGACACTTCGCGAACGTTCTCGTCTCCGTTCGGTCCCTCGCCGAGTCTGCTCTCCAAAGAGGGAAGGCCTCTGCCTGCGAGCGCTCCATCCCAGAGACTAGGCCCCAACTTTCCCGTCAGGTCTCGAAAAAGAGAAGAAGCAGTTGCCGTGGTTTGCTCTGCACGAGCCGCTGTATCGAGCCAATCGCAGGGGAGCCACTAAGCGTCGCTCACGGCAGTGGGTCCCCTCAATACAATATGCATCGTATCAGAATGAACTTCTTTTCAGCCACAAAAGAAAGAGCTGGCTTTGAGGGTTCGACACCAGCAGGATCTGCAGGATTGCAGCTTCCGCACAATAAATCGGCCACATGTACCCTGACATTCAGAAGTTTTCCGCAGCAAAAAGGACCGCTTTTTCAGGATGCGGCGCTCGGGTTCAACGCTGCATCCAGCTATTTGCACAACCAGGGGAAGGCGGGGAGGAGAAGGAGGGAGGGAGAAAGGAACAGAGGCGGGCAGAAGGAAGAACTTTAGCAGCTGACACGTTAAACACCAGATCAAGTTTCTCGCATCTTACCCAGCATAACTATCAAGAGCATAATCTTACAGTACGTAATCTAGTCCCGTTTAGTCTGAGACAAAAGATTCAGTCCCAACAGCCTGCAGCAGGTAGCCCCCACAGCCACCTTATGCAACACCACCCTCTCATTCTTCTCATACCTCATCCTGTGGGATCAAGAACATAGCCCAGTTCGCGCTCGTTAGGCTACTACTCCTAATCAGTTCTACCTTCCGTCAGAGGAATCTCACCCACACTCTGGACTCCTCTTGTCCTTGGTATACTTAAAGGACCGTTTTCTAACTCCGATCTTAGAGTACGACGAAGGTTTCTGAACTCGTTCCAAGTAACCGGTAGG